ATGTTGGAATTTATTTTGTCTTCATGGTGAAAATGGCAATCGAATGCTATTTTTGTGTGAAAATTCTCGATTTTATTTATTAAATTTTTAACTTTATAATGCTATAACTTATTGAAAAGTGTATGGATCAACACAATGTTTTTACGAGAAATAATATTTTTTAATAATCCCTTTTTCATTCGACATACTTTATCTTAATCAGGATATTAATAATGAACTAGAAGATCATGTAACTTTTAGAATAATCCACCAATTTTATAAAATTAAACACTATCTCAACGTTTCGATGCAAAGCGTTTTTTTTTTTATAGTGATTAACACTGTCAGGTATCATTATACTTGATCCAACTATGCCACGACCCCCTTGTACTGGTTTTTTTTTTAAAGATGTATTAAAATATAAATAATGACATACTAAAAGTCCTCATCGATTGGACTTGAGCTTTTTTTTTTAGAGCCTTGCAAAAGTTCAAAAATATGAGCTTTTTTAATTTTCTCAAAAAATATTTAACTTACAAAAAATGTTTATAAGACAATTTTAAAGAAAAAAGATATCTTATATTTTTTCATTTAAGCAAATATTTTTCGAGTTACATTACATATAATATGAATACTAAAATTTATTTTCCATTTTTTTCATTTTACGGTTACTTTTTATTATGTTATACATTAGACACAATTATATAAATGCATATGTGTGTATGTGTTAGTTTATTTATTTATAGTATCATTAAAGTGTAGTGTATATTAAGATAAAACCGATATAGAGTAGGTAATTAATTTGACGCTATATTTTTTAAACCCAACCAAACGCTAAATTGTACATTCCCAAATAACAATTATATTATGTCAATTGCCACCGGAATTTCTGGTAATGATAAAGATAATTGTCATAAAACGTATTGGCCTTTAGTCAGGTGCTGGAGCTGGTAAAAATTGTGGCTGCCAAAAAACAGGGCTTTAATATTCTATTATATGTGAACATTGCAAAGGTCAATGGCGTACAAATTCAATAGAAATAAACATTGATGATTAAGAAGATTGTACTTTTGTTGAAGATATATTCTATCAAAATTTAGAATGGAAAACTGAATAATAAAATAGAAAAAATTTTTGTTTCATACATTTGTCAAATAACTTTGTAAAATAGAAATCCTCATCGATTACATACTTTGCACTAGTAATGCATATAACTTGTATTTAGGATATAAATAAGGAAATAGGAGATGATGTAGTTTTTGTAATAACCCATTAAAATTAAACACTATCTACAGATTTGCATCAAGGTGTTTTTTTTATGATAATGATTTTAATCATTATCAAATATCATCTATACTGCACCCAATTATACATACTGTGCCGGGACACTGCTGGTTTTTTTTTAATTAGCAATTATTTGAAATAGTGGCAATGGGTTTACTTTAATTATTTCATTATTAATTTTAACAATAGAAGTTATTGAAGAAAGAGTTATAACTTTTTTGACCTTTTAAGATTTACATAATGAATGTTATTATCCACCATTGAGTTTACAAGAACAAGACCAATTTTATACACTTTATGACAATTAATTTTATCATTACCAAAAATTCTGGCTGGGTTGACAAAGGAGAACACGAGGTAGGTGAAATGGGGAGGTCTGTGACAATAGGCGAGAACGTGATTGGAGAGGTAGAGAGCTTTAAGTATGGTCAGTTGTGCAAAAGAGTGGTGGTATTGACGAGGATATAAGACACAGCATTATGTTCCGGTGGTTGAAGTGGAGAGAAGCGTCTGGCGTCTTATGCAATATGAAAATTCTAATAAGGCTGAAAGGTAAATTTTACAAGACTGTAATAAGGCCAGCTATGATGTATGGTTTAGAGTGTTGGGCCGTTGATAAAAAAGTAGAGCAGAGAATGAGTGTAGCAGAGATGAGAATGCTTAGATGGATGAGAGAAGTGTCTACAGAAAATAGGATAAGGAACGAGCATATAAGAGGAAGTATAGGTGTAGCGTCAATCGTGGATAAGATGAGAGAAAATAGACTTAAATGGTTTGGTCATGTTATGAGGAGAGAAGAATCGGAAGCTGTAAGAACAATTATAGAAATGAATATTGAAAAAACAAGAGGTTAGAGGAAGACCAAAAAAGAGATTGAGGGATGTTATTGAATGCGATATGAGGATAGTTGATGTGAGCGTAGAAGATGTGAGAGATCATGTCAAGTGGAAGTTTAGGAAAAGGGTGGCCGACCTCAAGTAGTTGGGATTAAGGCAAAGAAAAAGAATAAGATTACCAGAAATTCCGGTGGCAATTGACATAATATAATTGTTATTTGGGAATGTACAATTTAGCGTTTGGTTGGGTTTAAAAAAAATAGCGTCAAATTAATTACCTACTCTATATCGGTTTTATCTTAATATACACTACACTTTAATGATACTATAAATAAATAAACTAACACATACACACATATGCATTTATATAATTGTGTGTAATGTAAGTATAACATGATAAAAAGTAATCGTAAAATGAAGAAAATGGAATATAAATTTTAGTACTCATATTAAATGTATTACTCATATTACTATCTATGTTCATTAAACTCACATTAATTTGAAGCGTGCCCTCGGACCATGACTTGACCCATCGATCAACTATTACATTGTATGCTAAATTTTTCATCTCGCTTATGTAATTACTGTCACCTATTTCTATGTCGTTCAAACTTCTTATAAAATTAACCATTTCATCATTGTTTGATTGTTGAATTTTAGGGCTCGACCATTTACCGTCGGCGTATTGTATAATGCGGTCTATTTGATGGCTTAATAGTAAACGTGTTTTTAATTTTCTTGTTATACCATTATTAATAGTACACTCCATTTGTTTAAGTATCTGAATGTTTTCTTTATTTAATAAAACACGGCATCCTTCGGTCGTCGCGGCTTCTAATACTAAATGTACTGAATCACGATATAATGTTTTAGATAATTTGAAACATTCATTTCGGCATAAAATATTGTTTTCGTTTCTAACCGGAGATGATTGTAAAAATATATTTATTTCATTCATCATGCCGTAAATAGTATTCAAAAATTCTGTTGACATGCTAATATATCGTGAAGGAGTAATAATATATACCGTAATATTGAAGTCCTCCTTTGGATTCAGTCCTAGTTGTAAAAATTTTCTATCGCCGAACGAAATTGTATAACTGCTTGAATCGATCATTTCAGCTGGCGGTGTCGGTGCAACATAAACATAACGTTGTTTTCTTACAGGTTCGGCATCCATATTGTTCATAGAGTAGAGTCTTCTTTTTAGAGCTGATGGTTCTTGATGACACTGTGACTTTATCAACGATTTCATGCTTATTTATGCGGAAAAATCACATATTTCCATAGGGGGGTCAGCAAATCACAGATCACATATCCCCGTAAACTAACCCATTCCTTCACCACTTTAGTAATTTCACTTTAATATCATAATAATTAATTTTAAACTCTCGATTTCTAAATATTTGTATACAAATATATGTAATAGATTATGTGTATACATGTTTTATACAAAAACGATTACACATTAATGTCTATTAACCAACGCAATAATGTAACTTAATAATCAAAAAAGAATTTGATAAAATATTATTTCAAACGTAAAAATATTTTCTCTATAATTAAAAAATAACTCAATTCTTATGAAATAGTATAATATTGTACATATTTACTTTAATATCATAATAATGATCACCTTATGATGAGTTTCATCATCACCTCCCCTTCTATGTAGGGGTAAAACGTTCATTTACTGTTTTAATACATACGTTAGTCAAGTAAGGGGGCTCTCTATGATCAAAGGCATACACGTCACATAGCTGAAGATGGGTTTCGTGAGATTAATAGCCGCCGTCGCCGCTTGATTACACCTTTCACTTTTTTGCATTCAAATATTTTCATATAATTCTAAAATTATGTAATTTTTAAAATACCTCTAATTTTCTGTAATATATCAAGATATACTATATGATGTTCCATCTATCTCGGTATACTATGCATATACCAAGGTAACATGTACCATGGTATAACGAAATGCTATCTAGGAACGAGAAACATCGACCTTTCACCATATCCCCCCGGCCGTTTACACCGCCCGTCCACCTAGGACAGGGTAAACCTACATCATGTGGGTTAGGGGGGTATACAGCTCATACTTTACACCCCTACTAACCAAAAAAAAATAATGTTTAAATATATTTATTCTGTAAGTAATTGAATGGATTATGATAAAAAATCACTCTGTATATACTCCTCACATAATTGCGCCATTGTATATTGTATATAAGCCAGGATATAAATTATAAATTTTATTAAAACATTAAATAATTGAAGACCGTGCGGAAATAAACAAAAAAACGGTAGCACAGTGGGGTCGAGGCACAGTGTGGACGAGGCATAGATGGGACAAGTATAGATGATATCTGAC